TAAATATGTTGGTATTCATTAACTGCTACTAGATTTTTTTTGTTTTGCTGCTAGAAGTGGGACGAGATGTTTGTTTCTTTTTAGTGTGAAGATGAAAGCATCAAACCATTACACATAAAAGGAGAACAAACCTATCAGTTCTAAAGGAAATCAACCCTGAGTGCTCACTGGAAGGACAGATCCTGAAGCTGAGGCTCCAGTACTTTGGCCATTTCATGAGAAGAAAAGACTCCTTGGAAAAAACCTTGATGTTAGGAAAGTGTGACGGCAAGAGGAGAAGGGGACGACCGAGGATGAGATGGCTGGACAGTATCTGCGAAGTAACCAACATGAATTTGACACAACTCCGGGAGGCAGTGGAAGATAGGAGGGCCTGGCGTGCTCTGATCCATGGGGTCACGAAGAGTCGAACATGACTAAATGACTAAATGAACGATTACACATAAAATCTTGGGTAGGTGATAGCACTTGCTGTATTTTGCAAAAGGAAATATATGATTTTTTTGCTTTTTTTTTACCTAAAACCTTGTTCGCATATGCTAAGCATATATAGAGTGTGTGGTATTTTACGTTTGAAGAGAAATCTTCAAATCAGAAATAATCTATTGTCCCCTTGCTATCCTTGTAGCAAAAAGTAAAAAAAAAAACTCCAGGTGTAAAATGATCATCATAAAGCATCCCATGCTGTCCAAATTCAAATTTCAGTCTTCTTGGGTTTTTGATGCAGGCAGATTACTCATATATCTGAAATCAACCAGCACAAAGAGATTTTGCCAGGACAGGGTTAGTTATGCCAGTGTGAGAGTCTTCTGCCTGTTCCAAGCCCATTACTGCTGTGGTTTCTCAGAGATTGGATTGTATCGCCTTTTTGCAATGAGTTGAGCAAAAATATTTACAGTCAGACAATAGAATGGTAAAACCACCACATCCAAATTCATTTAGCATTTGGTGGACATCATACTGTCTATAAAACTGCCATGATATTTACTGGAAATATGACTGCTCCAAAATCTTTGCATGATTCAGATTTGATTGGAAGTGTTTGCAACAGTATTAAGTAATGCTTAGACAATAGTGTTACATGACTGTGGTAACATGTGAACTATTTTTATCTGAAACATAAAACTTTTGGATCTTCAGTTTAGAATACCAAGATGTGTCACCTTCCTTGCTAGGAGACACAAAAAGAGAAAGTGAGCAAAAGATAGAGAATGAAAGGTGTGATTTTATAAAAGAGTTCCTTGACCATTAGGTTGTTTTTGTATCCTGAAATATTGATCTGAATATTGGAATATCCTTGAGACAGACATATAATGCAGTGCTACAGCTAGAAACAGACATGATAGATCAGTGGTCCCCAAGCTTTTTGACACCGTGCACCGGTTGGGGGAGGATGGGGTCCATGTACGGGGAAGATGGGGTACCCCCCACACTCACACACATGCACAAAGGGGTGGCAGTGATGTGTGTGCATGTACAAAGGGGCAGGAGGTGTTCAGGCAAGTGTGTGTGCACTCACACGCATGTGCGAAGAGGTGGGGGCACTCAGGGGGGCATGCACACTCATGCGCATGCACGAAGGGACTGTGCAGGGGGGAGTGTGTGTGTGTGGGGAGATCTCTCTCCAGGGGCTGTGCAGGGGGGGAGTGTGTGTGTGGGGGGGAGATCTCTCTCCATGGCCCAGTCCAGCCCAGGCCACAGACCGGCACCTGGCTGCGGACCAGGGGTTGAGGGCCCCTGCAATAGAGAATACATTTGCTTACAAATATTCTTTTTAGTTGGGTGATTGGCTACACCATGCCACTGTTTTTAATATCACTGAAATCTGAATCACTATCACTGAATTTCTGGACTTGATTTTATGTATAACTGAATTAGAAATGTGGCTCCATTGGTACAGCCAGTCCTGGCTATATCAGCATCATGTCCACCATGAATACTATGTTGTGGAAATAGGGAGGAACACTGTTTTGTTGTTCCTTTCCTAAGTAGTATGAGAACTGAGTATGCCAAGATAACAGTAGACCTCAACTAAAGAGGATAAAACTGTAATGACAACTCAGACTAGTCAGCTAAACTTTGAACTAATAAAAGATAGCATAGTTTTAGCAGCATATATTTTTTTTCTTTTTCTAGGCTGACACAGGGATTTAAATAGAATGTCTGGGGGTTGAGTGTTTAATTATATAATATTATGGCATTAGGCCAAAAATGTGCTCTTCTTTATTTGGAAATGAGCATTAAGAACTGCCTGATGGGGGCTTGCCACTTTTCTGTATTACCTTTTCTCCAGCCAAATATGAACCTTGAGTTTCAAAAGAAGGTAATGTGAAGGCAGGGTGATAAAGGTGGATAATTAGGCAGTTGTTTGTTTGGTGAGTTGGGATGAGAAATCTAGCCAACTGCTACCTGCAGTGGACTTTGAAACCACACCTTCATTGATGTTTGCAGTGTACATTTGAACTCACCTTAAGAAGCAGATCTGGGACAATCATGCCATGAATTTTTAGGACTCTCATCTTTTTCTGTACTTTCCACAAAACCGTGGTAGGTTAAGGAAGATGGATTAACGCTGAAAGCTAGCTGTTTCTTCAGTTTTTAAAGAGGTCTAATAAAGATATTGAATTGTGGTGCTGGAGGAGACTCTTATGAGTTCCCTGGACTGCAAGGAGAACAAATCTATCCATTCTAAAGGAAATCAACCCTAAGTGCTCACTGGAAGGACAGATCCTGAAGCTGGAGCTTCAATATTTTGGCCATCTCATGAGAAGAGAAGAGTTCCTGGAAAAGACCCTGATGTTGAGAAAGTGTGAAGGCAAGAGGAGAATGGGACGACAGAGGACGAGGTGGTTGGACAGTGTTATCAAAGCTACCAACATGACTTTGACCAAACTCCAGGAGGCAGTGGAAGACAGGAGGGCCTGGCATGCTGTGGTCCATGGGGTCACAAAGAGTCGGACATGAATTAACGACTAAACAACAACTAATAGAGATATCACCTGCTCTTGCATTGTCCTATGTAAAGACCACTTGGTCTTTTCTAACTTTCTGGGTTATTATGAGGGTAGATCATTTAACCATAATAAGCATGACAATAATCATTGCTCCACATCTTCCTGACCAGTTTTTGGAACATCTGTTCTTGAAAATATGGCTTAATGTGGTTTTTCACAGATATTTCTGAAAGCAGGCAGGAAATGACTTTTTAAAAATAAAACTTCAGTGGCTTTCACTCAGCTAAAGGCTCAGCCAACGGTGCACAGCTGTAGTATCTTGGCAACTCTTAAACTTTTGATAAAGTCCTAAACCAAATGCATGCAATCCATGTTCCTCAAATTATGCTATTTTGAAAAACCCTTTAAGGTTTGCTTAATTAATCTTTTATTTCTTATTTGTTAAATGTACAACCCATTCCTGAATTTCCAAGACAGGATTCCTGGGGTGATCATAAGTATGCATATATGTATCTACCTGTGCAATTTTGTAGAAATGAGGGAAGACAATCCTCTTCTGATGTTGCTTCTATTTTATTTATTTATTTATTTAATTTTTTTAAAAAAATCATACACAAATATAGATTAGATTCCCATTTACCAGGAAGCCCTATTTATGTCACACAGAGAGGCAGAGAACAGAAAGAAATACCTGGATTCTCTTCACAGAGTTACAGGACCAACCCACTACAGGACCAAGCCACATAGCCTAGAAAAGTATGCTATGTGCCAATCAGCAGTGCTGGATGGCTCCTAGCTGAAAAGACATGGGAGGTGGACCTGGGAACAATGGTTTCCCTCCCTGTGCCTTGGGCTTATAGGAAAGTCTTCCCCATAGCCCAGCTTCAATGACAGGCCAGATTTCCTACAGTCATCCTCCCAAGTGTGATTTTCATTTTTAAAAAACAAACAAACCAAAACTGTTAAACTATTAGTTAATGAGACTCAGGAGACATTTTACCTCTGGGGATAATAGCAGGTGATGCATGCACACCACCACTGTTGCACAGGGAGCCAGATGGGTGACAAAGTCTTGCAGGGCATAAGTTACAAAATACTTAAACAAGTTTCACTACAGATGTAGCATTAAGAAGAGTATTTATTTATTAAATCATTTCCAAAGGTAACATACACATTTTCACTAAAGGGGGAAAAAAACTTCCAAAGATCAGTGGGGAAAAGACCATAATTTAAAATCTCTCCTTTTACTCATAAACATAAAACATTTATACATATATTTTGTGTTGATATATATATATCATAGAAACTAGACATTGACAAATTTTATACATAACATGCACACATATCTATATATACATGTATATACAGATTTACATTTAAAGACATATTTTTTTTAAAACCCACAAATGAATAGTTGATTATTCCTACAGTACATGAAACTGGAACATATTTAGAATACAGGGCAGATAATCAGAGGTTCATAAAAATAGAAGTGCTCTTTACATAGCAGTTACATTTACACAGGTTATATATATGAACACATGATGAAGCTGGACAATCAACTTTCTATTTACAGTGGGGTCTCTACTTAAGAACTTAATCCGTATTGGAAGGTGGTTCTCAAGTTGAAAGGTTCTTATGTTGAATCTGCATTTCCCATAGGAATGCATTGAAAACCATTTAATCCGTATCTGCTCTTTTCCATACATAGAAACTACAGTGGAACTTCTACTTAAGAACTTAATCCCTTTTGGAATGGTGTTCTGAAGTCGAAACGTTCTTAAGTTGAAGCAAAATTTCCCATAGGAATGGACTGAAAACCAATTAATCTGTTCTGGCTGTTTTTTGTTATGTAGAGGGGCGTTCGTACATTGAAGCATTAGTTTCCCATAGGAACTAATGCAAAGCTGGTTAATACGTACTCTACCACTAGGGGGAGAAATTTTTTTTAACCTAAGATGACCTAAGGTTAAAAAAAGAGCAGGAAAGTTTTTTTTCCTGTTCTTATTTTGGATTTCTGTTCTCAAGTAGAAGCACAATTTAGCAAATGGAGCTGTTCTTAAGTTGGATTGTTCTTAAGTAGGGACGTTCTTAAGTAGAGACCCCACTGTATAGTAGTGAGCTATTTTGCCTCCCCTCCTCCAAGCAGCAAAACAAGTGTACTTTTAAAATTTAAGATAAATCTTTTTCTTGTTAGCTCACTTTCACTTGCACAAAAAATAGTAAAATGCATTCTAATTTGAATTCTACACAGGGCAACATTAAGACCATATTTAATGCACTGCTAGTCTTAGCCTTTCTTGTGACTCACTAGGCTTAGACAAAGTTCCCTAGAGCTAGATAAAATGGGCAGCTTTGCAAATTAGGAGGAGATAAGACTTTATTATCCTCCAAGACCATCTTCTAATCTTCCATGTTTGCACAATCAGTTTGCAAACTGAGCCTTCTGTGTCTGCTCAATGACCAAGCACCAAATAAATGCAAGCTAATTTATTACCGTACTTCTAACTAGAATGTGAAAGACACTAGAGGATAATCACATATGCTTTACTGCTTAAGTCCACTTCTGACTTGCGAGGTTCCCTGCCTCATTAGTTTTGGCCCCTAGTCCTTGGCATACTGCAGTAACCTATCTGCACACCAGACTGTAGAAATCTGACTAGTGCATTATAGATTCTATTCACTCTGGTGCTTTAGCCCTGATAGAGTTACATACTGGCACAGCCATACTGGAAAAGCTGTATATCAAGAGACTTAAGGATTCAAAATAATAATAATCCTAATGCATGCTTTTGGGGGCTCCAAAGCATGACGGACAAATGTAATACTTCAATATCCATCTGATTTCTTTTTCTTTGACACCATATTTATTTTGTAACTATCCTCTTTCTCTCTTTGGTGATATCAAAATTGTCCTTCCAAACTGAACATAGGGCACAGACTTTGCCAATGATACTCTGTAAGCCTATGGAGGTCTAGTATAATGCTGTGGATCTGAATAAGCTCCTTGATTTTGCAATAGATCTGAACAGAGGTCCAGAAATTTCCCAATATTCTGGCACTCAGGCTTGGAGATCTAAATTTGTCTTTGGAGCACTAGCCATATCCATACCATATCCCTCCATACACAGAGACGTGAACAGCAGCCAGAATTCAAATGAATATTTACAGTGGTGTAACCTGAAACAGCAAATCAATTTTATATACTGAGTCTCTGATTGAACTCCTACATATGTGCTGAGTCACGCAACAGCAGGTGACTAGGAATTCAATCAGGGAGTTTTTAATGAGTGACTACACCTCTATACTTATGTGGGCACAAATAATCAGCTGGGTACTGGCCAGAGTCTCTAAAAAGTAATATCAATGTACGTGGTATAAAAAACGTTGTCCAGCAACATATTAGGAATGGGTCACATTTTCTACTAGAATCAGTAAAGGAAATAACAGGGAATGTGATCAAATTTTAAAAAGAAATTGGCATGTATTTCTCACTAACCTAACATCAAGCAACCTATCATTCTCTTCCATGTAGAAAATGCATATGTTGCATACAGTGACAGTCAATACACACTTAAAAGAGCAACTGGCAGTGCACTGAAGCTAGTTTCTGAAACAAATGGCAATATTTCACAATAGCAGACTGGAAGGAAACAGATGGATTAGTACCGTAAGCATTCCAGCAAAATGCCAGATCCTGGCTACAAAGATATCAGTTCTATGAGCTCATGATTCTTCCAATCAGTTAAGAGTTTTTTTGCAGAAACATTCTTGAGTCATACCATCGTAAAGATCATGACGATTAGTCACTAGAGATGGAAATGAACAGCACATGGAGAGAAGCGGCGGATTTCTTATGGTTAACTAGAACACATGTGGCTTGATGCTCATCATTATGTTAAGTTTCAAGATACAGAAAGGGGGGCAGTTCAGGATACATATACTCACAGCAGAGATGTAACAATATCAAAAGCTGAGTACAGGGTGGGGAGGGGAGAGAGACAGAGGGAGAAAGAGAGGAGACGCAGCAAGCCAGTAGAAAGCCTGATGAAAATGTTACTCTTTGGCACAGACCACATGAACAAATGGAAGAGATACAAAATGTAGCAACAGCAGTCACATCTAATTACTACTAGACTACGTTAGTGGCAGGACACAGCATTCCACTCTGTTTTTTGTCCTCTTGTGTTTCACTTGGCTCAGTTAGCAACGTGTATTACTTCCTTGAAGGCATGCAAGAAAAGTTTAAGAAGAAAGGAGATGAGCTAATGGCAGTAAAGTGCAAAAAGCAGGAACCAGTATTATACTGCAGACAATTCAAATAACATTTAGGGAAGCATGTCTATTATTGTTAATGCTAACTAACTACCACATACAAAGATGGCATGAGTTATATGGTCTGGTTTTATTTCCACAGTCAACCTTGAGAATTATCCTTATGTGCATTTCATGACACAAATGTTTTGTGAACTATACAAGAAAAATACATCCTGGACCAAGCCCGCATTTGCCTTAAAATCGTAGAATAGAAGAGCTGGAAGGGACCCAACAGATCATCAAGTCCACCCCCTGTCAAGGAGGTACGAGTGGGGGGAATCAAACTCCCAACCTCTGGCTCTGCAGCTAGAGACTTAAATCGCTAAGCTATCTGGCTCTGCCAGAGACTTAAATCACTGAGCTATACAGAAGCTTATGAATTCTGGATGAATGGAAGATGAAACATATGAAAGCTAAGAACACTCAACCAGGGAAGGAAAGTTTTCTTACAAAACTGCCTCACTTCCCCATTAAAAGTAAAGTGGAATTACTCCGTAATGCTGTTGTGAAATAAGATTATGATTGTAAAACACTCTGTAGGTCTGCAATGCTTTTCCTTAACAGTTCTTAAAAGCTGTATTTACAAAAGTACTTTATTTCTAATTGTTTTAGAGTATTGAGAGGAAAACAGAGAAAATCTCTGAGTCATCCAATAAATGAAGTAATGATGTTATTCTGTTTTAAAAGCAGGACTGTTTACTGAGAATAAAAATTATTACTATGTGCAACCAAGCTAGCAAAACAACTAAACCACTGGAGCAGCATCTAAAAACTGCCATATTAGTAAATGATGTCAGAATATTTGAAAGAACAAGTTACGTATGTCAGAGAGACTGTGCAACACAATTCAGCATTGGTGTTCAGGGTGTTCACTTTTACTTTTTGGGGACCAGGCACACTGATATCGAAAGATGGCGTTGCTAAAGGACAAAGAACCCAGAACCCACACAGATCTCTTCTCTGCCTATAGAACTTATATTTTGAAGCTTCTTCCTTGTTTTAAGCTCCTCTATGTGCTAACTTCAAACCTGATTTGTTGCAGCATACCATAAAATATGCACTGATAACCTATTGTGATAGGGATTTAAGTGCTGACTTTGTAGATAGGAAAATATATCATTGGTTCAATTAATTGTAGCTTGTCAAGAACAGCTGATCTTTTATACTTCTCAGTATGATCTTCAGGATTTACCTACTTCAAGCATTCTGAGGGCCATTTTGCTACCCCTCCGTTCACAGAAAAATCCTATCCATGTCTACTCATTGTCTAAGCCTCAAATGAATTCAATAGGACTTATTCCCAGCTTATTGCTTTAATACAATATATAGTATTTCCAAGTGATGCTATTAGTTAAACATCCACATAGGTTTGGTGTCAGTAATGAACTTGTATAGTTGAAGATATAAAAAGCATCAACATCGCCCTGGACCAGGCGTCACTCACCCATGTAAAACTGCTACATTGCTAAGTTAATAGTTATAATTTAGGGAACTAGGTGAGAGTTCAGGCCACGAAGCCTTCCAGCCCAGTTTTTCTCCAAGTGACCACAGTTTAGGTGTGAGTTTGGTAGAAATTGAGAATTTTGGAATTTGGAATATAAACATAACATGCAAAAATTCCTTCATCAATTGGAACTTATTTTTAAATCAAAATTTACAAAAGGGAAGCAGCATGTAAAAGTCACTGGCTGCAACACATAATTCTGTAAGTAGTGAACTAAACCAAGACTAAATGTTTGAATGGTATTTACTGTATGCCACAGCTAAGCTTAGACATTATATAATCACCAATCTAGTATGGTAGAGAAAGAAGGAATGCAAGTTTCATATTTAATTGTTTGCCATTCCTACAAGGACTTTTTAAACTAGATAAACTAGTTTCCAGAGAACACATAAACACGAGGAATAAATAAAAGACATTAATTTGCTGTTCAGATAGCAAATCTATTAATGCAACCAAGTTTTTTAAATGGTTCACTTCTTCCATAGAACATTCAGTTCTGTAAACAAAAATGGCCCACATGATTTAGAATGCTGATCTATATGTATGACTTCTTCTTGTTTTAAAGGTACTTTTTAGTTAGTCATACCTCAGTCTCTGTGCACTTTCTGGACAAAAACCAAACTTGCATGGGTTCTTTTTTACCCTTCATGGAAACAGGACCTCGATGTTCCAGGTGGAACTGGGGATCGGAATTCTCTGGAGCCATTAGACACCTACAGTCCAAAAAGAGTACAATTGTTAAACTATTAACATAAAAAAAAATGCTTTTGTGGAGAGGGTTCTAGCCCAGATTTGCATCAGCTCTGTAGTATAAAGATGTCAGTGCTTCAAAGAACCTGTCACAGTCCGACTATAGTCCTATTGATTTTACAAAGGGTTTAAAGTAAAAATGAGAATGCTAGCCCTGCTTCTCTTTTTCCTACCTCTCCCTGAGTATAGAATTACCGTATTTTTCGCACTATAAGACACACTTTTTCCCCACAAAGCAGGGGTGTGGAAAGTCTGTGCGTCTTATGGAGCAAAGAAAACAGATTATTTTTCCTGTTTTCTTCTCCTAAAAAATTTGGTGCGTCTTATGGAGAGGTGCGTCTTATGGAGCGAAAAATACGGTAAATCTGAAGAGTAGAGCTGTCTTTATCCATGAAGCAGCTCCACATGAACAGGAATCCAGGATTTCTGAATTTTCATTTCCAGCAGGTGCTACTCGGAACTTCTGGTTGTCTTTGAGTTCACTCAGTACATAATTATCTGTTGCAATCAGTGGTTGTCTATAAGCTCTCTTCAGAAAGAATTTTTCTCTTCAGATTTAGCTCTTTACCAGAGATGTTGAAAACTCTTTGGGTTCAAGTCCCACGTCTGAGTCTTTGACATCAAGTTTCAAGTCCCAAACCCCAACTCTGAGTCCCTATTAAAAATGAGCTTTCAAATCCAGAAAAACGGGAAAGGGGGGTGGGTTCCGAGTCAAATCA